TCTTAATACATAATGCAGCCTTAGCTGTCTAATAATGCTGTCTTATAATGCGGTTCATGGATTCTCGTCCGTGGAATGTGCCACTTTCGGTATTATGTTCAATACCTGTAACCTTCAACCATTATTCTTTGATTGACACGCCCCCGACTTCAGTGTGTGGCTCAATGACTGTTGGTAATTGGTAAGACATTGTCTGGCATTCATGCGTTCTTGTCTCATGAAATGTTATCTTTTACATGACTTCATGGTCTTGTCCATTAGACTTGTCAGTAGCTTGTCTCTGTAGTCCAAACATTAAGACTTAAATCTTTTTTATTTCTTTTATTGTTTACATACGCCTTTTGTTTTTCCAACATATACTCCAGTGTTTCTAATTCAACTCGTACGATTCTTGGTGTGTTGAATAATGAGACATCTAAAACATTCTGGGAGATGGGTCCTGAAGACTAGACTTGAGAAACACTGGTCTAGTCTATTGATGTCTTGTGTGCTGACGATTTGTTTCCTGAATGTTGAGATGTTTTTTGGTGTACCTGAATAATTGAGCAATGAGCAATCCTGTCTTAATACATTTTACATGTTGCTCTGAAACTCAGGGGTACGTTTAATTCTGCACCTCCATGCTTTTCCAGCCTCTCCCATGAGGATGTTGGGTAGGCAGCACACATGGTGTAGAAATGGAACCATCTGCTCATTCCTACCCCCCTTCTGAAACCAACGCTCCCCCCCCCCACCACCACCACCACACACACACACACACACACACACAGACGCCTCCCCTCGCAAGACATCCAATAAAACTACCCTCAGAACTTCAATCTTCCCATATCTCACACAAGCACATGAGGGCATTTCTTGCTCAAGGCAGTTGGCATGGAGGCCCACAATCAAGTCGGACTGGCATTCCGGCTGCGGGGTTGGAAACTCTGAGTTGCCGCACAGGCAACTCTGAAATGATTCAACCAAGAGGAGCGTGTCATATTTTCAACTCGCTGCCTTGTGTGAATTAAACCCAGAACCTGAGGATTGGGGACTAGAGTGTTTTACCATCAGCCCTTGTACTGGAACTGGGATCATGTACTGGGAACTGTGGATCAGTCAGCTGACCAGGACTGGGAAGCACTGCATGCTGGTTAGGAATAAAGGTAGGGCTACAAGTATCTGGCGAAGTCGGGTTTACCACACAGGCATTGACTGTCTCAGCTGCGTGTTCTTGCTTGTTTATTGTGTTGTGTAAGACCTGGCAGAAGACCAGTCTTTGTGTTGGCTTGGCTTGTGTCTTTTATGCATAATGATTGTTTTGAGTTAAATTTATTATCTTGTTGAACTGTTGATTTAATTTTGCCTTCATATACATTTTTAGGGTTATTGGTTCACTTGTGTCTAATCCAGTATGTGCTTGTTTGTTTAGGTATTGATTTTGCTTCATATTGACAGTATGAGTTTTGTGTATGTCCAAAACTACAGAAAATCGACCTATTAATGTGTTGCTCGAACAACTAGTTTACTAACTGGTAGCTCTGTGCTGTTAGCCTGGTTTTAGGTTGTACTGTATATGCTAAGAATCACAACATTATATTTGAAAAATATTATTCTTAGCCTATACCGTATTGTTCAAAAGTTAAAGGGGTGGTATAATGCCCCTTTTCACAAGATGTAAAATAAGTGTCTGATGTCCCCAGAGTGTATATGTGAAGATTTAGCTCAAAATACCCCACAGATTATTATTTACAGCACTTTAAAATTGTCCATTTTTGAGGGTGAGAAAAAAACGTGTCGTTTTGTGTGTCCCTTTAAATGCAAATGAGCTGCTGCTCCCGGCACAGAGGGCGGAGCTTCAAGAGCTGGTGTGTGTGTTAGCAATTCCGATATTACCTCATGCAGACAAGCACTAAAATGTCAGAAATTGTTCTGCCTTTTATGCTTAAACTGGAGTCAGACAATGATGGAGAGACTCAAGAAGAAGTGACAACAAGTAGAATGCAACAGGACGTTTCTGAATGGTTAGTTGATGAATTTATGTTGCTGTTAACTATTCATATTCTGTCATGATAATCTATAAAATCGCTTGTGTGGGAACTGTTGTAAGATGCTTACAGAGTGACATGCTATTGCATTTGTGTTACGTACTGTATTCCATGTGAAAAGACGGATGCGACAGCTTGAGCAGACTCACAAATGTGCTCGACTACAACATTTATTATCTTGTTGAACTGTTGATTTTAATTTTGCCTTAATATACATTTTTAGGGTTATTGGTTCACTTGTGTCTAATCCAGTATGTGCTTGTTTGTTTAGGTATTGATTTTGCTTCATATTGACAGTATGAGTTTTGTGTATGTCCAAAACTACAGAAAATCGCCCTATTAATGTGTTGCTCAAATAACTAGTTTACTAACTGGTAGCTCTGTGCTAAGGAACTCTCTTTTTGAATTAATTCAGTTAAAAAATCCTGATATATTTTGGAAATATGAAGGGGAGATTTTGTGTTGGTTGTTTGAAAATCATGTTTTTGCTTTGGCAAAATTTATAGAAAAAGCCTGGTATTTACGGCAAAGTATTTTGTATCCCGTTTGAAAAGCCATCTCTATTTTGTATGTGTACTTATTTTTATTTTTAAGTGGTTTGGTTATGCTATGTTGGACTCTGTCTTATGTCACGTGGCTATTTGGTGATATTTGTGAAACTGTAGTGTCTAATAAGCCCATGAGGGCTGGGCACCATAAAAGGTGTTTGACACTTAAATAAACAAATCAATCAATCAAAAAAAAAAAAAAAAAACTCTTCCTCTTCTCAACATGGACTGTGTGTTCCCGGGGGCGGGGTTTATGTAAATTTTAGGGTTGGTGATGTCACTAACCCGGGAGGAATGTCATGTAGTCCCTACCAGCCATTTGTTGTAGTCCTTAAAAAACGATTTCTTTAAAAGCAAATATCTTCCTTTGCTTTGAACTTTGAGCGTTGTAACTTTGCAGATATTGTTTATGCTCCAACAGCAACATTACACACTAACTAAAGTTAGAAATGTGAAATCAAAACCCCTTTAAGGATTTTTAAAACGTTTTTAAAATAATTATTTTATACTTACCAAGGCTGCATTTATTTGATTAATATAGTAGTATAATTAGTTATATTGTAAAACAGTAATATTGTGAAATATTACAAAAATTTAAAATAAATGCTTTTCTCTTTTAAAATATTTTAAATAGATTTATTTCTATGATGAATTCGAGTCATTATCCCAGTCTTCAGTGTCCCATTATCCTTCAGAAATCATTCTAATATGCCGATTTGGTGCCTCCCAGTCCTGGTGCTGTTTAATATTTGTGTGGAAACCATGATAGATTTTTTTCCCCCAGAATTTTTTGATGAATGAAAAGTTAAAAGGGAAAGAAATGTATTTGAAATTGAAATAAAACTTTTGAACGGTAGTTTAACATTATAGATTTATTTATAATTTTAGTGTTTTATAATTTTTGCCATTTATCGGTTAACGGTCATAACATCAAAATAATTATTACTTTATTGATATCAGCCAGAATTAAAAAATTAGTCCATCTAGTTGGTTTTTGAAGGACTAGTTGACCATTGTGAAGCCATCCATTGTATTTTTCATGATGGACTTTCTGTTACTGTTGATTTTGTGATGCAAGTTGAGGATGAATAATTTGGCTGTTGCTCTTGCCAGGCATTCAGCATATGAAGTTGGTATGTTAAATATAAGTACCTTGGGAATATGGCAATCATATTATATATGAGATTCCGTGGTATTGCTTTTTGATACCACTCCTGCCCTGTACCATGGTAACACCACATTAGTTTTGAAAGGTAAACCTAATCAAGCCAAATCTTGCAGGCAAAATTTGTTCTCTAATGATTAAAGCGAGTTTCAGAAGTCTTTTCTCCTCTATCCTTCTCAAGTTTTGTCTTGCCACTCTTTTCCCTAAGGAAAGGGGCAGCTGCCCAGACATGCTGTGTGTGTGTGTGTTTGTGGCTGGTTGACAGCTGAAAAGGAAGACCAGCAGACTCAGACATGCTGAAGGCGTGGAGACTCTCCCACAACATTTTCCAACCTCAAAGCAGTTTATGCTCCTCCCCATCTTAAGATCTTGCTTAAGAGTCAAACCCTTTCAGATAAAATCAGAACCCTCACCAAATCAGGTCTGTGTTGTATTCCATGTGAGATTAGCCTATATATTAATCTAGTGCTGCTAGATTATGCCATTGAAGACCCTGCTGTCCAGCAGCAGTTTTGAGGAAGAGAGGGCCAGGCTGACCAACCGGTCCAGCCTACAGGATGTGGACCACTATTGCTTTGCAGGTAGCCCTTTTTTTAACTGGCAGGTCTCATAGCCTGTGCTGCGCTGGTGCCCTGAGTGTCAGTGAGTTTTATGAAGGATTTCAGGTCGAGGATTGTGTTTTTTGTTTTTGTTTTTTTTGGTATGGTCAATGTGGAAGCTTTTACTCGGTCAAATTATTTTCTCTTGGGGTTTTTCCAGTGTTCATCTGCTTTTCACAATTGGAAGTGTTTGGAGTGTTTCTAATAGATCAATACTTAATGTTAACATGGCAAAATGGATGTGGCAGTGTAGTTTATTTAAATATGGCCAAGTTTTTATATAATATATGTTACCAAATACTGAATTTAGGTTGATTGGGACACTTTTTCCAAGTCAACTCAATGGCAAAAAGTGTCCCAATCACAAGTGATTTTGAAAAAGCGATCATTGTTCTTAAGTCAGGTTTGACATAAGGAGCAGTGATGCCACTCTGAATCACATTCCTTGTTTTCACTCTGCGTCATATGGTTGCTGTTTCTTCACTTCTCTGCTCCCTCAGTCTCCACCTTGACGTTCACTTGTGCGTCAACCTTTTTTCTGAAACCTCACTTCTCTTATATTGCTTCATTTTGCCCTTCCCAGAGGCTTTGTCTCATTTGAGATGTCACTTATGTTTCCTGTTACTCATCTAGCGTCTTTATGTCTCTTTCTTCCTGACAGAGGCCCTGCACAGGCCGTTTGGACTGGACTCGACGGCACTGACTGAAGCGGTGCGCTGGAGCTCGAAGGAGAATCTGTTGGGTGCTGCAGAGAGCGACCCGAACCTCTTCGTTGCTCTTTACGACTTTGTTGCCAGTGGTGACAACACGCTAAGCATCACGAAAGGTACGATCGTCCAAAGGGGACGAGTGTGGTTGTGCTTGGTTTCATTGTTCACTTTGTACACAAATGAAAAACCGCATTGCATTGGTAGTGTAAACTCAAATGTGACCCAGGACCAAATATAAATACCTGGAATAAACAAGACCGGAGAGTGTTTTTACAACCATTATTGATAACTTCCTCCCTCTTTATAACAAAGACACCATGCTATTATCCTTCCTCTTCCTTCCATCGTTCTCCTTCCTCTTTTCTTTACTTCAGATCTTTATTGTTCCTCTTCCCAGCAGCACTTTGTAGGATCAAAGCACAAAGAACCAGGCTAAAAATGAAAACGGAGGCTAAAGTTTGTCTTTTATTCAGCTGAGAAGCATGAACACATGGGCACCAACCTGAGCCATATGCACTAACGCCCACAACTCTTTCCAGCGTGTTGTAATAGACTTTAAAACATGAGTCTCAGATGCTCCATGCTGAATGGCCACTGCTAACGCTAATGTCTGTTTTAAAGTGTAATCCCGTCAGCTGGGTGAAAAGCAGGTGGGTAAACACAGACTAGCCAAGAGAAGATAGTTCAGAGAGAGGGAGTTAGCGGCTTGTTCTTTCTCTCTGAAGTAGCCGCTAATGGCCAGTAATGTAATGTCGTCTGGTTGGCACCACTGCGCCAGTCTCTTCTTGTCTTGTCGTGAGGGCCTTGTTGCCGCGCCAGTGTCAGTTTAGGATTAGAAAAAAAACACTTGCTGTCTGAAAGCTAGTGGGCCTGAACTCTGTTTCCCTGACATAATGAGAGCGCCCTCTACTGGACCAATGCTTGATGGGATCACAACAAGGTGAAGGAACAGCAGGACAGCATAGATTTAAAAAAAAACTTGTGTATTTTATCTAATATTAATAGTAAAAGGATGCATTAAATTGATCAAAAGTGACACTATATGACATTTATTGTGTTACAAAATATTTCATGGTTTCCACAAAAATATTAAATATAAAAAAATATCAACATTGATAATACGAAATGTTTCTTAAGCAGAAAATCAGCATATTAGAATGATTTCTGAAGGATCATGTGACACTGAAGACTGGAGTAATGATGCTGAAAATTCAGCTTTGTCATTACAGAAATAAATTAGATTTTAAAATATGTTAAAATAGAAAATAGTCATTTTAAATTGTAATAATATTCCACTATATTACTGTATTTATTTTCTGAGCATAAGTGACTTCTTTCAAAAACATAAAACAAAATCATAACCAGCCCCAAACTTTTGAACAGTATTGTATATGAATATACAAATATTTTTATATAATTTTATTATAAAAAATTATGTATAATTTTTTATATTATTTCATTTACTTTTTTTAAAATCTAAATTCTGCAGCAGAAATACACAAACTAAAAAGGGGCCTCCTTTTTAATTTGGTTATGGCATGTTTTTCAACAGCACTTTGACAGCGTAAACGCAGTTATTCAACACTCCGGAGAGGATTTTTTCTTTTTCTAACAGCTAGACGAAGCACAGCTCAAGGGAACAGAACACAGGGCTCTTGAGATGGTTTCAAAAGTGCTTTTCAAGGCATATCTTGTAAAAATACTATTTTTAACTTGTGTAGCATCTTGAAAATGTGGCACAAATGGCGATGTGATGCAACCAAACATGTCTGTCTAAGGCACATGTATTTGGGGTTATTAAAAAACAGCGCAGTACATCAAATACTAGATTGATTTATCTTATGTCATAATTGTCACTTCTCTGCCGCAACTCCCAGGTGCCCTCAGGATTTGTTCAGATCTCAAAATATTTGAAATACTTACAAAATATGACACTGTTCTTCTTCTTGGTCTGAGCTTATGGGGCAAAACAGATGTGGATGTTTTTATAGCTGAACGATGGACCTGTTGTGGCTTGCGTTGACTAATCTCTCTTTACATTCCATTCAGATGTATTGACGTGAACAACAAGGCTTTACATTGATGAAACATTGTGGTATATTTCTCATACATCAATGTTGTATCTGTCTCACTCTTGCTCAATATTTTGTATTTCAGGAGAGAAGCTGCGAGTGTTGGGGTACAATCAGAATGGAGAGTGGAGTGAAGTTCGTTCAAAGAACGGCCAGGGTTGGGTACCCAGTAACTACATCACCCCCGTGAACAGTCTGGAGAAGCACAGCTGGTATCATGGGCCCGTGTCCCGCAGCGCCGCTGAGTACCTGCTCAGCAGTCTGATCAACGGCAGCTTCCTGGTGAGGGAGAGCGAGAGCAGTCCTGGCCAGCTCTCCATCTCGCTTCGCTACGAGGGACGGGTCTATCACTACCGGATCAACACCGCCTCTGACGGAAAGGTAGGGCTGCTTTCACTTTACTTTGGTCCTTTTGCTTTAAATAATTGACTAATTAAATTCACTCTTCTCTTCGGTCTCAGGTCTACGTAACAGCTGAGAGTCGTTTTAGCACGTTAGCTGAGCTGGTTCATCATCATTCCACAGTGGCGGATGGTCTGGTAACTACACTACACTATCCCGCTCCAAAATGCAACAAGCCAACCGTCTACGGCGTCTCTCCCATCCACGACAAGTGGGAGATGGAGCGCACCGACATCACCATGAAACACAAATTGGGTGGTGGCCAATACGGAGAGGTGTACGTCGGAGTTTGGAAAAAGTACAACCTCACTGTAGCTGTAAAAACACTAAAGGTGTGTGTTTTATGTTATATCATTGTTTTTCATTGCAGGTAACAGTAACTATTTTACAATATGGTCCCATTAGTTAATGCATCAACTAATATTAACTAAAAATGAGCATAACATTCATTACTTTAGTCATATTTTTTAACGTTAGTTTATAAAAAATATAATTTTAGAAGTATTTTTTTATTGATTGTTCATGTTAACTAATGTAGTTAACTAATGTTAAGATATTAAACCTTGTTTTAAAACGATACCCAGCGTTTATGTGGTGTTGTGTGCCACCAAGAGGATGTTGATTATATTGCACTCATGGATTTCTGTTTTAGGAGTTTCTGTATTAGATTTTATATAGATTTTTGTATTGCTTGTTATTCTATACTATGTAGAATATTTATGCTGTTATATCACTTTATCCTAAAGGAGGACACCATGGAAGTTGAGGAGTTTCTGAAGGAGGCTGCAGTCATGAAGGAGGTGAAACATCCCAATCTAGTACAGTTACTGGGTGAGTATACTAGGAATGTGCAAAACCAGCCCATAATTCCCTTTAATACAGATATACATTCATACATTTTCATACATGGTTGTCACGTTTTAGTTCTTAGTACTAAAGTTCTGTCATAAAAACAAGGGTATCACATATAAAAAGGTATCAGATACAAATGTATCTTCATAAAAATCTGTCATTTTGTGACAAAAATCTAATTTGATTCTATATATATTTGATATATACACATATATACTTGTGCCTAATTGGTTAGTTCTGGTGCCCCCTTCTAGGTGTGTGTACACTGGAGCCTCCATTCTACATAGTGACGGAGTACATGCCCCACGGGAACCTGCTGGACTACCTGCGTGAGTGTGACAGAGAACAGGTGAACGCTGTGGTGCTGCTCTACATGGCCACTCAGATCTCCTCCGCCATGGAGTATCTGGAGAAGAAGAACTTCATCCACAGGTGAGCACAGTTCTTCAGATGTCACTAGACTTTAGGACGCGGAAGATTTTAAATTCCCGTTGTCTCATTGATTACATTGTTTTAACTTTTCTTAAATCCTATTGAGACATCTCGCTACAGCTTGTCAATCTCTTTCTCAGGGACTTGGCAGCTCGTAATTGTCTGGTTGGAGAGAATCACGTGGTCAAGGTGGCTGATTTCGGACTGAGCCGTCTGATGACAGGCGACACTTACACCGCTCATGCAGGTGCCAAATTCCCCATCAAATGGACAGCACCAGAGAGTCTGGCCTACAACACCTTCTCCATTAAATCAGATGTGTGGGGTCAGTTTCTTATTTCATTTTGTCACGAGGATTGTGTGTTGGAAGTTCTTTTACGCTATAAAGAGTTATGTGTTGCAGACTGACTCACTTATTTACTTCAAACTCCCCAGCATTTGGAGTTTTGCTTTGGGAGATTGCGACGTACGGCATGTCTCCATACCCAGGAATCGACCTGTCTCAGGTGTACGACCTGCTGGAGAAGGGCTACCGCATGGAGCAGCCCGAGGGCTGTCCCCCTAAAGTTTACGAGCTCATGAGAGCCTGTGAGTATCGACGCTAGTGAATTTCGATGACGCTTTATTTATAGCTTTCACTTAATAACATAAAAAAACATCATTAGTGTATATTCAAATAATGTGATGTGTCATTCATATATATATATATATATATGAAGGCCAAGTATGGTAACCCATTACCACAACCCATGGTAACTATACTACCATTCAAAGGTTTGGGATCAGTTTTTTTTTTTTTTTGGTTTTTGAAAAAACATCTCTTATGCTCACAAAGGCTGCATTTATTTGATCAAAAATACAGTAAACAGTAATGTTGTGAAATATTAATTCAATTTAAAATAACTGTTTTCTATTTAATAGATTTTAAAATGTAATTTATTACAGTGGCAAAGCTGAATTTTCAGCATCATTACTCCAGTCTTCAGTGTCACATGACCCTTCAGAAATCATTCTAATATGCTGATTTGGTGCTCAAGAAACATTTCTTATTATTTTCAATGTTGACAACAGTTGTGCTGCTTAATATTTTGTGGAAACCATGACATTGTTTTTCAGTATTTTTTGATGAACAGAAAGTTCAAAAGACCAGTGTTTATTTGAAATGGAAATCTTTTGTAACATGTTTTTACTGTCACTTTTGATCAATTTAATGTAACCTTGCTGAATATAAGTATTAACTTTAGTTCAGTTCAGCAACTTTATTATCCATGTGATGGAAATGTTTCTTCGGCTTCACTGTACAATACATACGTAAATAACATACACGTTAACAAAATAATTTGTATAATTACTTAAAATAATCATCTCTCGCATTTAAAATTTTAACAGCGTTCGGCATAAAGGATAACTGATAAACTTTTTCATTACCCGTGGTTGCCTATAACGCCTCCCCGATGGCAGCAATTGGACCTCACCATGAAGGGTGTGAGACACATCCTGTATTATCATTGAGGCATTTTGCATGGCTTTAAATACATTTAAATCATTCAAATGTGTCTGCATCTGGCCTATTACCTTACTGGCTTCATTTAAAAAAATCTTGGACAACTTATTTATGTAACTTATCTATTTTTAACACTCAGGTTACCGTAACATGAGGTCATGTTGAAATTCAGAATACTTCATATGTTTATTTTTATTTTTTATATATATATATATATATATATAAGTAAAAAATACAGACCCCAAGCCTTTGAACTTTAGTGAGGGATTTGGTCATTATGTAAATCCATATTTTGTTGTGTGTTGGCAGGTTGGCAGTGGAGTCCACTGGATAGACCCTCATTTGCTGAGATTCACCAGGCTTTTGAGACCATGTTCCATGACTCCAGCATCTCAGAAGGTATTATTACATCATCTGTTGTGAATGCCAGATGAAGCTGTAGACTGTGCAGACTTCATGCAGATCTTATACACTTGATGAGTAAGCAGAGAAAACTCAATGCACAATAAACAGTCTTAAATGATAGATTACTTGGGTGCAGTTTGTATTGACTTTACCATTGAAAGTGACTGAAATAAAGTTGAGGTTAACATTTAAAAAGATTTGACCCTTGATACTTTTATGTAAAACACAATATTAACATGCACCTTCTCTCTGCTGACTCTTCTCCAGAGGTAGCCGAAGAACTGTGTAAAACCGCATCTGGTGGGCAATGTGGGCTCGCACACACCTTCGGCCACGATATGCCACTCTTGCCCTCAAAGTCTCGTAGCCAGAAGAAACACTCTGAGAACAAAGAGAATATGGAAGACGCAGGACCCCATGGCCCTGCAGGTATACAGACCCAACTCCGGCTCAGTCGGCTCAGAAAGAAACTCAAGAGAATGGGAGTGGTGTTCCTTATCGATTAACAGAGCTATACAGTATATAACCCTACATATATCCACAACCATAGGAATATTAAAAAGTTTAACAAATAAATAAATGAAAAATGTTATATCCTGTATATTTACATTCATTTTAAATGTTCAAAATGTATCATGAACAGATGACTGACATGTTCATAAACATTCATAACAGATTTTCACTCTCATGTTTTGATCATTTTTCTGTAAATACATCTGATTTCTTTCTATTGCTGGTTTGTTCCCATTTTCTGCATGTCACTAAACCCCAAGTATGCACTTAAGCACTTCACCAACTGCATGTGTACCTATATTATGATTAAAATCTGTTTAACCTTACTCAAAATTAAAGGATTTTATGTATTGTGCAATATTGGTTTTCTACTCAACTATTTGTGTTATTTATTGAAATTACATAGTTTATGCAAAATAAACTTTTAAGGTGGGATTGTTTTATAAAAAAATGTTTTGGTAAAGTTGCCTCTTTTTGTCATGTTATCAAAACTTTTAAGAATGCTAAAAGTTATTTTAAAAAAAAAAAACATATTTTGTATTCCCATTTCTGTAATTATTGTCCTATCTTTTGGACAATCTTACTGTCCCCTACATATCAGGTGATACACTCTCTATATTGCAAATATCTAGACACCCTGTTTGTCACAGGACCTGTGAAAAATACATAAAAAATATCTTGGCCCACTCATGAAACATTTTACCCCATGAATTAAAGAGACCGCCCTGGCCTAGTGTCAGGTCCTGTCATTTGAATTATGAGAGACAAGCAGCTCATAGGCGCACTACACAGTTTCTTTTATAAAAGAATATGCACGGAGTGATATGTTGCAGTGATTTCAAATACCACTCCACAGCCTTCATTTACACTGTGCATTACTCTTATGTTTATCTTTGATACATTTGCTTGAGGCAAAACTATTGGCAACAATGTAATGAATGAAATAGAAAATTTATAGTCAAGCAATCACAATGTGACAATAAAATCTGGGCACTGAATAATCATGTAAGCAAGTGTTCCATGGTGACACAAGCCATTTAAATATGAAAGCGCATAAGTATTAAGTTTGCATGTCAACTACTACCTCTTATTTTGCTTCTCTTTGACCTTTGGTTCTGTTGTCCCATTGTGTTCAGGTCTTGCAGCATCCCTTTTTGTTGGTGATGGACGCTTCAGCAGCTCTCCGGCCCTACCACGTAAACAGAGGGATAAGTCTCCCTCTAGCCTGCTGGAGGACTCCCAGGACACCACCTTCACCCGTGACCGCAAAGCTGGCTTCTTCAGTTCTTTCATGAAGAAGAAGTCCATGTCCTCATCTTCTACTTCGTCCTCACCTCAGCAGCAGCAGAATCTCCCAATGCCACCCAAGAGGAGCAGCTCTTTCCGGGAGATGGAGACCCAGCCCCATAAAAAGTATGAGCCCACGGCTGGGTTTGCAGGCCCTCCTCCTTTGCCCCAATCTGATGGGTTGAGTTTCTCTCCATCTCATGGTGAGGGGAACCATGTGCAGTCCCGCTGTTGTGGGGCCACGTTTGGGCAGAAGCCCTCATGTTCAAGCTCTGGAGCAACCTCTGGTCAAGTGGGAGGCAGCAGTAGCTGGGGAAGCCTAGCGGGCTTCTTCACCCCTCGCCTTATCAAAAAGACCCTGGGTTTGCGGACTGGTAAGCCTTCTGGGATAGACGAAGGGAGTGCAACCAAGCCGTTCCCTCGTTCCAATTCAACTTCCTCTATGTCTGCTGGGTTGCCAGACTTAGAGCGCATGGCATTGACATTACCAAGAAACCGTAGCAAACCCCCACTAGAGCGCACAGCTTCCACCACCTCACAGCCAGAAAACGGGGCAGCACGACCTTCGGATGCAATCCTGAGGAAGCTTGACGAAGGTACGGCTCAGATACGGGATCGTCCCAAAGCCAAACTCTTGCCACGAGGGGTGGCAGGTGGAGTTAGGGCACCAGGTGTAGGGGGAGAGGCTGATTCGGACTCCAACACACGGGGAAAAGATGGGCAAGATGACAGGCAAGGTTGGTCGTCTCCATCGAAAACCTCCACTCTTGGTTCAGTCAATCTGCACAACCACAAAGTTCCAGTTCTGATCTCGCCGACCCTAAAGCACAGCTCGGCCGACGGCCTAGTTGGCGTGGACTCTCAGGGCAACCGCTTCAAACTGCTGTCTGACAGTGGGGATCGTGACCGACCACGACTGGTAAAGCCAAAATGTGCACCTCCTCCACCACCCATGCTCCGCTCCCTCCAACACACCTACAGTGCCGATGCAGCCGATGAAGCAGTCAGTGGGAACATGGAGGTCAATGGAGATGGCCTCAAAAGGTCAGGGAGAGAAGCCAGAGGGGCGCGTCCATCCATACCACCACCACAAGTGCCTCCAGCTCCCATAGTCCCCACTAGCAACACCACCACCCAGACTAAGTTGGCCAATGGTTCTTCCAGTGGCGGACATGGCCCTGCTTCTGCTAAACCCACCCTTAGAAGGACTCGGCAGCAGACAGAACGGATCCCCCTGGAGAAGATCAGCAAGGAGGCTCTTTTGGAATGTGCTGAATGCTTGAGTAGTGCTCTTCAAGGCAACACCGAGCTTTCTTCCAGCAGCCAGGTCCTGGATGTGGGACACCAACTTTTGGACTACTGCTCGGGGTATGTCGATTGCATCCCACAGACGCGCAATAAGTTTGCCTTTCGCGAGGCAGTGGGTAAACTGGAGTTGAGTCTACAGGACCTGCGTGCTTCCTCTGCGGGTGGGGGAGCGGGACTAGGGGCACCTGGGACCAGCCCGGCTCTTGACAACTTGCACACGTGCATTAAAGAGATCAGTGATGTAGTCCAAAGGTAGCCACTGTGTCTGCTACACCTTCCAAAACTCCTCCTCCTGCACCCCTTGAAACTTTTCGCCCCAGAATCAATCTAGTTTTATTTCAATTTTGGGGGACAGAGATTATTCTCTAAAAAGTACCTCAGAAAATGAATACAAACACATACACACACTCTCTCTATCTTTATTGTTTACAGGTGACTTTCTCATTGAAATTGCCAGTTGGGAACAGAGTTCTTTGTATATAAGCTTTTTGTCACTACCAGAATACACATGGTTTTGATTTTGACAAATTTACTTTGTAATTAATATTTACAGTTTCATCTTGGTATGACAGAATGAATTTTCACAAATAGACAGGGGTTGCACAGGTTAAGGTGAGCCGACTACATGCTAACTGGTCCACTTTTGTATTCAGATCAAGTTTTCCATCAACTTTTTTGGTTCTTTAATTTGCATTTGATTCACAGTAACTGGATATTGCGTCAAAATGTCAATGCAAACTTGGAAATGCCATTTAAAACATGAATCAGTTTTGCTTAAACAATATTGCTTGTTCAGAACATACAGTAGTAATGAATGTGGATTGCAAACACAGACAGCTCTATACACATTTGTTCTGTCTCGTTTTACACACTAAAAGTACTTCTGTCTACATCCCATACTGTCATTTTTAATTTGACCACATTTGTTACAAACACTACAGCATTTGATGACCATTGATGATTTTGTAATTAGTCTTTATTTCTATATGGTCCATCCATTATAGTTAGTAGTGGTTTGCTGTGGCATAGTTGAAATGGTGTTGGATCTGTCACCACATGGATCATGTTTGGCCTTTTATATCTGTGGCCTTTAGATAATTCCCCCATTAGCAAGATGGCACAGAACTACATTCATACTCTAGAGTTCTCAACACTCAAGAATTCGTACTATATTTCTAGATTTTATTGATTTGCAATGGGGAAATTATTTGATGTGTGGATAGTCTGAATTTATTTTTTGACAATGTCATATTGCCAAAACACTACAAATACAAGTATTGCCAAGTCTTTTAACACAAACTGCATTTTCTTTAGCACATTGATTTGTATTTTGATTTCACTTTAGAATGTCGCCATTTGTAAACTTGAATTTTAAGTTATTTTCTATTCAAAGCACAGGCATTTTTATGATATTGTAGATATTGCTTATTATTTTATACCCACAAACAGGCGTGAAAGGTCATACTGACTTGTGTCCTTGTGGTGAGGTTTTGGTGTGAGGGTCTCGGTCTCCATCTGTGCATCTACATTATGAATGTATTCATTTGTTAAAAACAGGAATGTTGTGTGTGTGTGTGTGTGTGTGTGTGTGTGTGTGTGTGTGTGTGTGTGTGTGTGTGTGTGTGTGTGTGTGTGTGTGTGTGTGTGTGTGTGTGTGTGTGTGTGTGTGTGTGTGTGTGTGTGTGTGTGTGTGTGTGTGTGTGTGTGTTCCATAGTCTCCCTTCACATCATTCAACCTTTATTAAAAAGAAGCATTATTAAAAGAAGCATTTTCTTCAGGACACAAACGGTTACATGTGTTTTCTGAGTCTGTATTCATGAAATGATAGATTTCTATTAGAATTTGCATAAATGAGATTTTTGTGGGTACCCTGCAATGTCATAAATAAAATGTAATGAAGCTGATTTGTACCGATTACACTGGAGCACATTTTTAAAATATAAATGTTAATTGCCTTGCCTTAATTCACTATCTAGGGTATGTAATATGGATGATTTGGAAGGTGAAATTGTTTTGCCATACATCTCCATGACATTTCAGTTCCTCTGCAGCAGAAATACATACAAGTTGTTTGTTCAGGACAGTTTTTGTTACTCTAGATCACAGCATAATTTGCCTACACTAACTTAGCTTGTTTTGCCATTTTTTTTCCTGCCATGCTGGGCAATGTTTCCTGATATTACATGGTGCCTTTTGTGAGAGATTTAATGTTTTGTGCACTGCAAGGTCATGTTAAAGATATGTTTATGTAAATATATTTTGCTCTCAAATATTCAATATCAATTTTAAGGTGGCAAATGGGAATTTTGAAGCCTTTATTATCATTCAAGCTACCCTGCTTAGACATCTGGGGATGTGAGGTGTCCAACTTGAATAGGAAAAAGTGCAATGATCTGTCCTTAAATAAGAAAAAGACAGTGCTTGAAGTCTGGTCTTATGTTACTGAGAGAGCTCATCAATTTCTTTTGCTTTGTCAGGAATACCTCTCTTGTAATCACAGAAAATATGTGTCATGTGTGATTTAGCAGTTCTCTTTCAAACACATGCAGGTTGTCTATTCCATTTATTATGTCTGAAAATGTTTCATTACCAAACAACTGAGGGGAGGAAAGAGTGACTGTTTCGTATGTCAGTTTTACATGATTGTCAGGGAGCGTTTTGCCTTTTAAACATTTTAAAGTAAAACAGCCGGTTCTTTTTCTTTCATTGCCACTTATCACCGCAATTTGTATTTTAACTTGGTTTTCCTATTGCTATAATCAGTCAATTTTATTTTAGTAAATTGCCAAACCTCTGAAAGTTTGTACATTAAATAATATTTGATTGTATCATGTATTTAGGAACAATTCAGAGAGAACTATCTTGTCCCAGTAGTTTATGCTTTATGAGCCACACACGGTCTCTGGGGTGCAAAGCCGTTTGCCTCACAAACATAATCATCAGAATTCAGTCTTTTTCAGTTTAATTTTAATTACCCAAGATTGTGCATTTTTTTATTTGACACTTTTATTTATTTTTGGTTTATTTATTGATCTACTTTTTATGTTGAATCCTGGAACTCACATTCTTTGGAGACTGTCTTTTTGTAAGGTCAGATTTTAAGTGCTGAAGAAATTTATATACCAAAGGCCACCTCTCAAGTGCAATGAAAATAAAACACTCTTAATTTTGAATATGTGAATTTAACAGGGATTAAAAAGGCAGAGGTTGACAGATCAACAGTATTTTTTTCTGTTTTGTAAAAAGTATATTTTGTGTGATTCTAATTTAAAGCTCACTTTTAATAGTATATTACTGTGAAGTCCTTCCTCAGTGTTACACTTGATGTAAATAATGAATAAAGAAACTGTTGAAACATTGGTTTGGGAGTTTGTATTATCATTTTTTATTAATAAGTACTGTGACATGCTATGCGTCATCTGAGACTGTTTAAAACATTTCATAAAACAAAACATTTCATCCAGAAAACACAGCGTACATGCAGAAAAAGATCGTGTGGGCTACATGTTATTTGTCAATTACCCAAGTTTTTAGTTACCCTAAGCGATTTAGTCCAAATTTTCTGAAGAGACTCGGATCGCTTTATGAACAGATTTACTTTAGGCTTTTATTCACATATAAACATTGACCAGCGAACATAAAACAGAAGCTCAACCGTGCTGCAAAACACACGAGAATGAATCTCATTGGTTCTCGCACGACAAGCGAACATGCTTGAGATTCCACAACTGGGGCCTATACCCAACGCATTCTCATCCCAAAGCGTAATATTTTGACTCTTTTGCCAAAGCGTCTATATCCAACGCATATGGCACCCTTTAGCGTCAATATAACACGCTTCGGTTTTGGGTAGGTTTAGGTCTGGGGTAGTGTTAGGGTTAGACCACTAGGAGGCGCCATATATATGCGCCTCATATGACGCTAAAGGGTGCCATGTGCGTTGGATATAGACGCTTTGGCAAAAGAGTCAGTATATTACGCCTTGGGATGAGAACGGGCTCCTATACCAGAAGCCGGTTTAGGTGGCTAGCCAGGTATGTTTCAGTTTAGTTTGCGCCAACCCTGGGTTTACTTTTAGGCACTATGAAAGGGGTTTGGCTTTTAGCAGTGTTCATCGCCATAGTAATGGCTAACCCGGTCCAGGGCAGGTTATGTTCCAGGTAAGGTTGCAAACCGAATTTGGACCAATCAGCTGTGAGCAAAGGATAAAGTCACTCCACCTGTTTCTACTCCAAATTAAAGGTCACTATATAGCAAATGATTTTTAAAGACAAAATCATCTGGCTTTTACTAACGCTTATTTAGAATAATAATTTTGTATGATTTTTAGATATTAGATATACCCTTAATCGATCACACATGTACAATTTTAGTTTATCAATTATTATTACGCACAGTTTAAATGAATAAACATATGAAGGTAATATAAATACGCTTTAGATAAGCTATAAAATGACTACACGTGAGCTTAAATGTTCTATTCTCTCTATACCTTTATCAACTGTATAAATTAACTTCACAACTTTTACTTGCACTGATATAGCATAGCAAGACTTTTTCTTTTTGTCCTCTTTCATAGACAGCTATTTTCTTCTTGCTGTGTAAATATGTTTAAAATCTTAATATTTATCAATCTTCTGCTTCTCGCGCGAGAAATGAAACGCAGTTTCACTCTTTCTCAATGTGATTGGCTGTTCGCAACTGATGTCACACCTAAACTCCTTTTTATTTATTTATTTATTTATTTTTATTGAATGCCAGTCAGATACAAATAATAAACATGACAATAAATATTATACAAGAATAATACAACATTATTTTTTAAATAATTATAGGCTACATTACAGCAAATAGGAAAAGAAAATATAGTGTAACTAAAATGAATAACACAAGTAAAAAAAAATTGTTTTAATAAAAATAATATAAAAAGAAAAGGAACAGGTATGAGATCATCATATAAATAGCATAAAAGCTTCACATAAAGACCTAGTACGTTTTGCTTTACTGTTTTTCAACCCAAGTAGTAACTCTATAATTTTTCATTTCTATCTGAAATAACAAAAAGTTGGGGTTTCCTTTAGCCCATTTTTGTTTATGTATATGGTATTTCCCCATAAGTAAACAGAGATTAACAATAAAGGCCACATTTGGTGGTAACCTTTGTCTATTGAAATAAAAAAAGACATCTTTTTCAGAAAAATAAACTTTCATCCAAGCATTTAAAAAGAAAACATTCCAAATCCACCCAAAACATTTTGCTATAAATGCAATTAAAAAATAAGTGGACAACATTTTCTTTCTCAGTCCCACATAAATCACATTTAACATCTACATCAGTACGAAACCTATAAGAAAAAGAGTTTTAACAGATGAAGTATTTTAAAATGTACTTCTCTCACCTTATTTGTTATGCAATATTTTTTAGGCAGCAACCATGCATATTTCCAGTCAATGCACTCAACTTTAGAATGCCAGTATGTTTTAGAAGATATTGGGCTGTATTCAGTTAGTAACTTCCTAATAAAGTAATTATTCCATCTTCTATCAGTAGTAACTCCTTTAATTGCAACATCAGATCTGAGACTCACAGTCTCCTTATTCACAATTCCTTTAAACAGACATTTTAAACCGGATGGTATAGCATCGAACACTATACAATATTATTTTGGGATTATTGGAATATTATACCTTTGAAGAAATTCTATACAGGTGGCCATTTTCAATAAATAACTGTTTGACAAAATGCCATTATCAACCCATTTTTGAAAAAACAAAGTTTTATGCTTAAATGTTATATACCTGTTATTCCAAATTATACATTTGTTTGGAGAAAAAAATATGTTTATAGATAAGAATCCACGAGAGTAGCACCTGCCTGTGAAAATTAACTTATTCTAACGGGAATCTTACTGATTTCAAAGTCGCATTGCAACAGAAAGGCAACCCCACCCATCTTTTCAAAAAATTTGATTAGGAATTAAATACCAAATTTTATTTTTGTATTGAAAGCTTGATCCATCTATTTTTTTTTATTGTATTTGAAGTGCTGAAGTCAAGCACATTTAAACCTCCATTAACAACCGAATTAGTTAATGTACCTTTTTTTAATGTAATGAAATCTATTTCTCCAAATGAAATTTAAATTTTTTTTTTATTGACTTCTTTAATGATGTTATTCGGGACTTTTAGTGAAATAGCAGGATAGAGCAGACGAGATAAACATTCAGTTTTTGATAAAATCATTCTACCATTAATTGACAAGTCTCTCATTAACCATAAACTAAATCTATTTTTAACTTTTTTTAACTACAGATTGAAAATTAAGCTGCCCCCTTTCCTTTTCGTCTTTACATATTTTGATTCCTATAAATAGGTAATAACATTTTTTACAGGGATGCCATTAATATCAAGAAATTATCTATTTTCCAGAGGGAACAACTCACATTTGTTTAAATTCAATTTTAACCCTGAGACCAATGAAAAGTTATTCAAACAATCAATCACACTTTTAATTTCGAAATGAATTTCGAACAAATATTGTTGTATCATCTGCTAATTGACAGCATTTTATTTCTCTTTCTAAAATCCTGATGGCGTGAAAATTATAGCCTACTTTTTAATGTAAAGAGTCAATGTAACCTTTGTACTTGCACACTGCTTTCTGTTTGTTTGTGAGTCGAGTTTTCCTTTGCAAAGCAGATCGAGTTTGTTTGCAAAATGCTGGATTTGTTTGTTTAATTATGGCACAATATTAACTCCATCAGGTACCGTAGGCTCACTATTGGCCGACGCTGGTCATGAGTGTGATGCTGGCCAATAGTGAGCCTACGTTCTGATGTAGCGCTGCGTTGTTCCACTATGTGAACTCACTCAGAGGCCTACATAAGAAAACGAATAGTTGAATAAAGTCGTTATTTTTGTTTGTTTTTTGCGCACAAAAAGTATTATTGTCGCTTGATAAAAATTGGTTGAGCCACTGTAGTCAATTGATGTTTTTACTAACTTTCTGGGCCGGCAGGTTTCAATTACAATAGAAGCCTATGGAGGAGTGAGAGACAGCTCTCAGATTTAATCAAAAACTTAATTTGTGTACCGAAGATGAACGAAAGTCTTACGGGGTTGGAACAACATGAGGGTGAGTAATTACTGACAGAATTTTCTTTTTTTTGGGTGAACTATCCCTTTAAGACTTGAAGCAACCCACTGTACCTCGACTGACATTTGTCAAGTTGTATCTTCAACAGGACATTATGGACTTTTCTGTCATATTAAATATTTGATATATTAAATGAATGTAACAATACAATAAAATGTCTTATCACATTCTTATCAAACTCTTTACAGTGAGTGATTTAAAATCTAAATGGCAGAATCGGTTTTCCAGTGCTCCAGTAGTTGTGTGTAGTTACTCCACCTCTCCACTTGCAAGCTCTGACGGGTAAGAGGCGCTATTGGACAATCACATCCCTCCATTTCCCCGCGGCAGAGGCGCATTGTTAGTCGGAAATGGGAAAACCCTGAGCCGTGAGGTTGTCGCTGCTGGCTTCACTGGAGTATAGAGAGTTACACGACGGCAAAGAGAGGGAAGAACAAGCAACCCTGGAGTTTTATGCAGAGGAGACGTTAGTTCTTGGAGTTTTTCGCTATGAGCTGGGGAACGGATCTTTGGGTAAGCGCACTTTTCCCCATTGCCCGTTCCTTGTGGCCTTTTGTTCACTCACAAAACAACTCGGGTTTTGGCATGACTTCAGGAAAGGTGTCCTAGTCAAGCTGTCTGTATTCTCGGTCTGTCCTGTTGGGTTTACCGTGTCAGTACACCTTTACCGCCAGAAATAATGCGAGAGTTTGATACATTGTAACATTTCGCTTTTCGAATGTACCAAGTTTTAAATGTATCACGCGTGACGTTTCATATAATTCTATTGACATTCCAAATCAAACCTAATGTAAAGGTTTCACACCCAGTTTCGATGACTAAGAGCTGGGGAGAGGATCACCCTTAACTCGTTTTTTTCTCGCGTATAACAGAGATAATATATCATATGTATTGTGTTTGTGTGTGAGTAAGTGAGTGAATTTAATATAGCCTAAACAACAGTTTCTTCCAGCAGTCTCCAGGATCTGTTTCCATTGTTGCTTATTGGTGACAGAGAATGCTGAAGATGATGTGCTGTTAAAGAATAGCTTGAAATGAATCTTCTAATGTGTTTAGGCTTACGGATTGACCATTGGCACCACGTTTGCAGTTTGATGCCACATTTTATTGTCTGGGCTTCAAGTCTGCCATGTTCCAATGGCACACTGGCCTGTTAAATAATAATAAAAAAATGCATCGTTTCGGGATAAGCTGAACTATTGGGAGACAATAAAGCCCGTCGAGTGTGTGTGGGTCTGTTACAGGGGTGTTGCCCTTCAGATTGGGCTACTGGACAAAAAGCAGAGGATGTGTGAGGCATTGCTAGAAAGATCACATATATCATCAGGTTTTTTTTTTAGGATAATAGGTTTAAACGGTGGTTTAAGCGATGTTTTAGTTACAACTTTACTTACTATGCACGGGATTGCTTATTTGTGATTGATCATCCAGATTAATAACTGGTTTTGTTGTCGCTGTGTTTGTGTGTGAGTAAGTGAGTGAATTTAGGTTTAGGTGTTCTTGTAACTTGGCTCATACTAGTGTATTGGTTTATTGTAGCCTTTACAATAAAGTTAACTGAGTAATTAACAGGTTTTGATAGAGATTCTGTTTTTTATTTGAATATTCTCTGGGTTCCTTTCCTGACCTGTTGGTTGCAAAGTAGCTGGTTTCGAACTGGTCCAAGCTGATCATTTGCTGGCTGATAATTAATGCGTCCAAAAAACAGTTTGACCACCTTAAGATCTTATGACCAGCTGGTAACTGCTGCGAGAAGGTCTGCTTGCTTCAATAATCTAAAGAGCAGCTAGAATCCAAATACTGTTTCAAAACACAACTACCATGTTATGCTGGAAAATCCAGTTTCTTTTTGTGACTTTCATAACTCATTTATTCTTACAAACAAGGGCAGTTGTGAAATTAAGACATCAATAAAGAAATGCCAAAGACTTTCAAGCAAGTCGTTCAAGAATGCGAGAACTGTAGCATTGAATGGTGTGTAATGTGTTGTTTTTAACAAGATCATAAACATGAGTGCTGTAAGCTTTGATAAATAAATGAATTACTAGCAGATTGACTAATTATACTGTCCAATGGACATTGGACTTGTTAGATTGAACATATTCCAGAGCTTTTACGTGTGGCTGGATGTTTGGTGTTGGACATCCGATACTGTCTGTTTGCCCTAAATATGGCTTGAATTGGCTGTCCTAATTTCTCACACCGTAAATCCCTTATGTTGTGAAATATGGCATATCCTCTTCATTAGAAATGGTCTTTTGTAGATTGCATTCATCTGTAATCCTGTGGCAAATCCCTTTGTACACGGAACATGCTGAATAATCAAGTTGTCTGCTTGTGAAATGGTATGTCTTTTTAGTCATAAAAAGTGGACGTTTTTCCATCCTTAGCCTTGGCTCTGATGAATGAAATGCCATTCAATCCCTTAAATGCTTGTGCACTTTTCATCATGGTTCTCCTCAAATGCACTCTGCGTTAGATCCACGTGTGCTCTATTTAGAGACATTAAAACTCAATTAATATTTTTAATGTCATTCATTATTTGTCAAGTGTTGATTTTGATTCAGAAGTAGTGGCGTGACGCCTTGGGTGTGATCAGTTTACACCTTTCAGAATTGCCCAATTGTAACACATAATAAGAAAACGCCTTACGCATAAGACAACTTGTTAGTTCTGAGTATCATGGAGGATATTTGTGTGACATTTTTGCTGTCCAGTGCTTTTATTAGTGCAAAAAGCGATATGAACGTGGATCCTGCGGATCGACTTGAGCTGTGAGGGGTTGTGTGTACTTTAATCAATGTAAGGAAGGACAAAGAGCCTGATTGAAACTTAATCACACAATGCTCAACTGAGTACAGGAAACTGACATTTAAACCCTTGCTATTATTAAAACAGTTTCCTTGTGTTTTTTACATCTCCTAAAGTTATTTGTTTGAAGCCTGTATGATGATTTCAGGGTAGTTGCTGCACAGTGTTTTGTAAGTTGTACACAACTGTACGACCATATGGAGCGCATGGACTGCACTCTGTATGTACTGTTAAAAGAATTGTTAACAGGGCTTCGATGTGGTGATTCAGTCTTTTGTAGAGGAAACTGGTTAGACCTGTGTTCGCAAGGCTTGTATAGTAATTGTTTAGTTCATGGGTTTTGTGTGTTGTTGTGTTTTGGGTTTCAAAAATGAATTGAATTAGCCAATGTCAACCAGCAAGTAAGTAAATGAAAAGACTTTCTTTTTCTATGATCCTTTCTATGAAAATATTATATATTTTAAAATGTAATTTTTTGAAAAAACATGATCCTTCAGAAATCATTTAATATGCTGATTTATATATATATATATATATATATATATATATATATATATATATATATATATATATATATATATATATATAATTTAAAAGTGATAGATTTCATGCATCTCTTTTTAAAATGTCTTTACTGTCACTTTAATCAATGATGCATCCTCTTTGCTGAATAAAACGGAACAATTTCTTTCAAAAAAGTATTTCTGACTTCAAACCTTTGAACAGTATGTGTATAATAAAATATCCATAACTATAAAAGGTTTTCTCATTAAGATCCAGATGCATAAAAGATGCATTTACATGAGATTTTTTAAATGGTCAGATTTTTCTCAATAAACAGATTTCCTTGATAAAAGAACACCTTAAGTCATTTACATGAACTTACACATTGTGGCTATGATGCATAATCATTTGAGAATGTAAATGCACATAAGATTTTATACAGTAATTAAGAGTCATAGTTTAAAATGTATATAGATCTTGAGTAAATCTGCAGACCGAATTTGCCCTTTGCACCTGATCTAAGATCATGCACTTATCTTGTGACAGTCATGTCAGGATCTGACTGAAAAGCTTGTTATACATCAGCTTAAAAAGCAACTTCTGTCTTCAACCTCTGCTGCAGTGACTCAAGACAAAGGCAGATGTATGTGGCTCCTGTCAAGATAGTTCAGTTGAAGGTTATTCTTTCTGTTTTTGATTGGTCAGGCTTTTGACAACCGTCTGTGTGTTTTTACAACCGTCTGTGTGTTTTTACAAATAGCTATAAAACAACCACATTAGTCCTGTTAGGTGCAGAATTTGAGTGCTAAAATCAGACAATTGTGCATTCAAAATATGCTCTCTCAAGGAAGCACATGTAATTTGTATTATCTAACCTTAAAATAACCCCCAAAAATGAAAAATCTACCAGTATTTACTCAGCTGCATGTCCATCCAAACCTGTGTGCTTTTTTCTTCTTCTGTGGAATACAAAAGGTGACCTTTAATGAATCTTTAAACGGTTAATAGTGACCATGGCTGTCAAGCACTTTTGTTGTCAATTCTTCTAAACCAATATAACAGGGGTCTCAAACTCAACTTAACTGGGGGCCGCTGGAGGTAGAGTCTGGGTCAGACTGGGCCGCATCAAGTATTCCACAAAAAATAGTATTCAAGTATTCCAAAAAAGGAGCACAACTGATCCAATCTTCTCAATATTTATTATTAACGTTTCTTCTGAACTGTTCCTCTGAATTTGAACATTCCTTTCTGTACATGATTGGTTCTTAATGAGCTGTCCTTCTGACAGTTGAAGTTCATTTTACAAACTTTCTTTGTCTATAACACATATTTGTGATATTTATATTTGCTTATGTCCTTTTTATTTTCTTTATACAACACATTAATGATATTGAATGTTTTTTTTGGAAGGCACATTTCCTTTTATTATACTTAGAAAAACAATTATTGCTTTTGAAATACAAATATTTGCAGTCATGTCTGCCCGTCTTATTGAATTCTTTCTATAGTGTCTCAAATTACTGACTGCACAAATTAAAGCAAACCTTCTCATCAACCTGTTGGACACATATTACAAGCTCAAAGTGATTATTCTCACATTGTTTTAGAGCAGGGTCTCTCTCTAACACGTCGCTCGCGAGCTACCAGTAGCTCGTGGCCTGATTGGTGGTAGCTCGCCAAGGGGCCGTTCACATATCGCGCTCACATATTTTGCGCGCTCAAGTTCATTATTTCAAATGTAGGCGCGCGGTAAGCGCGCTCATAATTGAAGCGAAGCGCTCATTTTTTCCAGGCGCAGTATGTTTGTACTTCGCGGTTGTCTATGACAACTATTGACAACAAACCCACCGTAAGCTGTCACGTGACTATATATGGTAGCCCATAAGGGATAAAAAAAAATAAAAAAAATAAAAACGCGGCACACGCAACGACGGGCCGCACTAACATTAAAATTTAATGTCAAGTAGGGGGCCACAAAATATCACCGGCCCGCGGGCCGCGAGTTTGAGACCACTGCAATATAATATATTGTTGGAATAAATCAAACTGTTTAATTATGATAATATTTTCCACTAAAAAATTACTTTTTATTTATTTTATTTTTTACAATTTTGGAATGACATGAGGGTGAGTAAATAACACAATTTTCATTTAATTTTTTAAAGAATTTGAGAAGCTTGAAATTGCATTAATTTACT